GGGAAGGAGCGTGGCCGCAGGAACAGGATCAGCAAGACTGCACCGTGCCAGCTGCAGGAAGATATCAGAGCAGTGCAGGAGCAAAGCCTGCTTCCACTTGCTGTTCCTGATGAGCAGTTAAGAAAATGCCTCGAGTGGCATTTTCCAGCTTGGCACCTGACCCAGCCTGGCAGCACCGCTGGCTGCAAACCACCACCAAGGAGATAACCTGACTTTGTCAGTCACACTGAGGGTTCTGCCTGCCAAATGCCGCTTGGCACAGTCAGCAAACACATCTCTGCAGAGCGGGGAGGATGCTGACCTGTTCAAAAACACCTGCCAGCAGCTGCCATCCACACAGAGAGGTGCAGCCTGCACAGGCAGCAGCTGGACGGGCTGTCCTTGGCACCACTGTCACCTCCCTCACTGCTGTCACAGGACTTCACTGTGCCAAGCCCTGCACACACACAGTGGCTCAGGGACAGGCAATGTGCAGCCCGTGGATGCCTCTGGCAGCAGCAGCAGCACTGAATGACCTAGAAACCACCCACGGCTCACACAGTGCCTGGGCTTTCTGGGAGGGGCAGAGCAGCAACCCCTGCCACACAGAGGACAGGTGAAGCCCCAAGATTTTGGAGCTGGAAGAGCTCTGGCATCACAGAGCCTGCAAAAACATGCAAAACCTTGCTCGGCTGCTCGTGCTGATCCTTGCAAGAAGCCAGTTGCATCCAGGGGTAATAGCTCTGCACCCAGACGGACCTTCCCTGCTTTTATATTGGGGTGAACTTCCTCCTGGCCGTCTGGCAGCAGTGCTGCTGCCTGGCCTCACATCCTAGAAACACAGCATGTCCAGTTCCTCCCACTGTCACCACACCTTGGTCCCCGGGGAGGGCGTGGGGTGTAACGCTGTGGAACAGGTATCACACAGCCACACCTGTGGCATTGGGAGCTGCAGTGCCCCAGGCCAGAGGAAGGCATGCACCTGGAGCTTCCATTCTTGGCCCTTTCATAAAGCAGGAGATCTATTTCTGGCTGTGGAGCTTTTCTAGGCACAGCACAGCAGCCAGTGCTGCCATTTCTAGCTGAGAAACAGATCTTTTGTGGGTTTTCTTTCCTTTTCTCAGCTCTGCCTCTCTGCTCCTCCACAGCAGGGCCTTTCACTTCCCCATGGGGACCAGGGTCAGGCTCCCTGCAGCCAACCCTGGGACAGAGCACGGGGACAGCAGGGGATGGAAGGGACAGCTCAGAGATCAGCACATGGATAAAATGTGAATCCACATTACACTGCTGTGTAAATCACCCTCACAGTTTGTCATCAGCACTTTATCCACACAGCATTTGTCTCCTCCAGGCAAAAAGGTCCGAGGTGTTCCAGCAGAATTTTTCTGTTACTGTGTTTTATCCCACCCTACTCTATCGATCAGGGATCAGCATCCCCTGGATGCGTCAGCATCTGGAGCATCCCGGAGCATCCCGGCGTATCCCTTGGGTTTGACAGCCCCCCGGAGCATCCCTGGGGTGCAGCAGCATCCCGGGACACTCCCGGGAGCCCGGCGGGCTCGGGCGGGCGCTGCTCTCGCTAGAGGGCTCTCCAGGATGAGTTTCCAGAGGCTGCCGAGCTCTCCGGCCCCGGGAACGGGGGGCTGGGGCTTCGCGGCTGCCCGCGGGCTGGCAGCGCCCCGCAGCCCAGGAGAGGAGGGGTCTCCGCAGCCCGACCCCTCGCCCCGTCCCCGGGGGAACACGGGAGATGCGTGGGCACCCTCCGGAGGGATCACGGGGGATGCTGCACGGGAGGCAGCTGAGCAGAGCCCTGGGGCTGAGCCAATGCCCACGGAGCAGCCTGGAGGATCAAGGAATCCCAGAATGGTTTGGGTAGGAAGGGACCGTAAAGACCGTCTGGTCCAACCCCCTGCCACGGGCAGGGACCTTTACACTAGACCAGGCTGCTCAGAGGCACGTTCCCACCAGGTGAGGAAGCCACTGCTGAGGGACGAGTCAGGACCGTGGGAGGCCAAATCCACGACAGAAAAGTTCCCACGTTCCTTTTGCTTCTCCTGACCTTGACAGGGCCGCAGCCTGGACACTCCTGGACACAGCCTGGACTGAGCAGCACAACACCAAATGCCCTGGAAGCCAAGGCAGACAAAACCGACCTCCTCTCTGCTCTGGCTCTGCCACCTGCTCACAGGGCGCAGCAGGAACCGGGCTGTCACCCACTGCGGCAGCGCCCTGCCCTGGAGCTCCAGAGCAATGCCCAGCGCGGGACAGCGCTGCCGAGCTCCCCCGGGACCCTTCCCAGCCCGGGATGTGACAGTTCCCATCGCTGCGCATTCCATCAGAATAGCTCTACAGAAATAGCAGCAAAGGACACAACTGTCACACACGAGCCCGGGCACCAGCAGCCAGCCGCGGGCTCCAGCTGCCTTTCCCCACCGAACTGCCAGCAAATGGATAAATACAGACATTTGTGGCTGCACTGGAAGGGGGTGATGGGATAATGAGCACTCTGCTATTCCAGCATTTTAAAAACGCCAACCACAGCTTAATCTCACTGATGTGCTCGTGTGGGTGCGATCTCATTTCAATAGGAACAGGCTCCAGCTACGTGATTTCCAGCCCCATTTCCACACTGATGCCGGATGAACACAAGCATCTGCCTTCATTGTGAGGCTTATTGACTCCCCCTTCGATTCCTTTGCTCTCTTTGCTAAAAACATCCATGTCATGCAGCAGGAATGCTCTTATCAGGTGTTTGTCAGGCCTTAGATCCCTGATTTTACCCTGGACTCAGTGATTCTGAGAAATGCAGGCAGCGCCTCAGCCCATAACATGGGGTGCCAGCAGGGGTGGGAGCAGCTGAGGAGTGAGGACAGCAGCCAGCACAGGAAGAGGGGCCAGGGAGATGACAAAGGGTGGGAGAAACAAAACAAAGTTTGCTCAAGGTGGAGCAAACAGGTGGGAAGGAGAAACAGCTGAGTCCAATGGGGCAGAAAGGAGCAGCTCCAGCACACACAGGGAACACTGGGATGGTTTTTCCACTGGGAAACACCTCTAATGTCTATATAAGAGACAACTGCAGGGAAATAAAGGCAGAACCAAGCAGGTACAAGGGCAGAACACACTTGTTTTCCTTGTCTGAGCCCGGTGTTTGCAAACAGCCTCACAGGGTACACCCCTTAAAGGAAATATTTCTGTTCCCAGAAGTGTTTTCGTTGATTTCCAGATAAGATGTTTATGCTTTTCGTTTTGATCCCAGCTAGTGCCTCCCCTTCAGTTCCCAGTGCTGGAGCAGCTGGTGGGGGGCAGTTCACCCAGCCCGGCCCTGGTTCTCCCTGGCCTCTGGACCCCAAACCAGGTCCCACCTCACCCTGGCCTCTGGACCCCAAACCAGCTCCCACCTCACCCTGGCCCCCACCCCGCACCCCGAGACCGGGGGGACAGCGGCACCCCAACTTCCCTCCTGAGCTGAGCTGCAGCTGGGAGCTCTGGTCTGCTGGGACCAGGGATGGGGGGTTTGGGCCCCCTTGGGTGGGGAGCTGAGTGTGGCTGGAGGACGAGAGGGAAGGGGAAAGGGGAAAGTTAACGCGCAGATCAAGGACTTCACGCTCTGGTTTCCCACCTCCACCGCAGCGAGCCCGGAGCAGCTCCACTCGTGGGGGGGACCCAGACCCGGCCCGGCCCGCGGCCCCCCACCCCCGCCCGCACTCACCGGCGCGGCGGGGCCCGGGGGTCCCGGGGGTCCCGTCGCTACCGGGGGGTCCCGGCCTCTGGGCCGCCCCATGGCCGGGCTCGCTGCGCCGCTCCGCCGGTCCGGCGCGTCCCCTCGCGCGCGGGAGGGAGGGAGAGAGGGAGGGAAGGGATGGAGGAAGGGACGGGCTCGTGCCCGAGCTGGGCAGCGGCCGGCCCCGGGGGGGCTCTGGTGTCCGGTGGCCCCGCTCCCACCTCTCCAGGAAGCCCTCTCCCGGGGGCAGGACCCGCAGCCCCTGCGCAGATGCGGGGCCCGGGCGGGGGCTGGCCCGGAAGGCCGGCCTGTCCTTGTGACATTGGGAACCAGAAATCCACGGAATCGCTTGGCTTGGAAAAGCCCCCTGAGTGCGATCTCAAGGCAGCACTGCCAAGGCCACCCCGACCCACGTCCCCAAGTACCACATCTACACGTCTGTAAAATCCCTCCAAGGATGGTGAATTCACCACTGCCCTAGGCAGCCTGTGCCAGGGCTGGACAACCCTTTCCATGAAGAAATTTTCCCTAATATCCGGTCAACACCTCCTCACCCATTATCAGCCACCGGCCCAGCCTCTCCTGCTGGGTGTTCAATGACAAACTGGGGTCTGAGCCCCTTATCCAGGGCACCTGATCTCAGTCGAGAAGCCCCGATAAAGCACGGGTATAATTACTCCCCTGAAAACAGCCTCTTCCCAAATTGTGCCTTGCAGGGGCAGCCAAACAGCCAAAGTCAGGCAGCAGCCAGACCCCTTCATGGAGGGAAGATTTAACGCAGCACTTTAAAAGCTCAGAGGTGACCTCGCTCAGGAAACGTCCTGGTTGGAGTTATTTTAATTAAAGTGCCTGAGAACGTATCCATTTCTGACACCATTTGGGGCTTTTTACTTCTGAGAAACTGAAAACCGGAATATTAATCTCTTTTTTTTTTTTTCCTGTCATTCAGGGTGTTCTGGCTGGGGTTGCAGTATTTTTTGGCAAGAAAAGTGTTGGTGTCCTTGAAAGCTTTCACCTTCCTAAAAAAACAAAAATAAACACACAAAAAAACAACCGAACTTTCCTTGGATGAAAAAATGTCCTGGCAGGCTCACCTGCCCTTCCGCCTGTGACCGTGCCCAGCGTGCCCACAGCCACAAACACCCCTGGGGACCTCCCCTCTGTGTGCATGGGGGCTTCCACAACAGCCCTGACCCCTGCAGAGCCCCCGGAATGCCCCTGGGAGGAGGGAGCGTTACCTCTGCTGCCGGAGTGCCAGGACAGAACTCGCAGGCTGTGTCGGTCACCGCGGTGGGACACCATGGCCGAGTCAGGTGACAGCCCTGTGGGACACGGCGTGGGGCCCTGCCTGCTGCATGTGGCTGGATAATCCCTGGCAGGCATGCAGGCAGGAGCTGGGCAGCACCTTGCACTCACCACGCAGCCCGGGCACTGCCAGCCCTGCAGGAGGTGCTGGCACCTGCCTGCACCTCTGGAAACACCCTGGGATGCTGCAGCCTCCTGGCACTGCACCACGGCCACAGGGGTGAAGCAAAACCTAGCTGAAAACGGCTCTGAGCATAGCACATGGAGAGGTCTGCCCCAAATCCTCCCCAGAGCCTGGCAGCTCCCACTGGGTCCTGCTCTGTGCCCTCCTCTTTCCCTGCTGGGGAATAGGCCATGCTGGAGAGGAGTGCTGGAGCCAGGAGCCCCAAGCACTGAGGGATTGTGGCAGCAGGTGAAAGAGGTGAGGAGATGATTTTTGGATTCCCAGGCCCAAGATGCAGAGCTCGGAGTGGGCTTTGGACTGCTCTGACTTCCTGAATGTGTTATAAAGGCCAAACACCACAGACATGATGTGCTGTGTCTTGTGTTGCTGCCCATCTCCTCCACCTTGCAGCCAAGGACAAGCCCTGCCTCTGCACATCCCTGCCTGTGGAATGGGACAGGAGTGAGCTCTGGGCACGACTGTGTGGTCCCTGTGCAGTGTCTCTCTCTGGACAGAGTGTGCCCCGGGGCCAGGCTCTGGCACAGGCAGCCTTCCCAGGGCCCTTTTGTTCCTGTACCTTTGGTTTCAAAGGAATTTCCTGCAGCCATTTCCCAGTGGTGCATTTTGAAACACTGCCCTTCCCTACTGGGCAAAGCTGGGAGACACACAGCACAGCTCCGTGTGCTGGATGGGGTCTGCCAGGCACCTGCCTGCACTCAAGGCTTGGATGCTGCATCCAGGCTTCAGCCACTTGTCCCAGAAATCGGCTTCCACGAGCTAAGGATCGCTACCAAGCGGCAGGAATTCAGCATTTCCTAAGAAGTCCATCCTATCGGAGCAGGCATCTGAACTGAAGGGGTGAACCTGACCAGGAGCCAAGGCTCCAGGACATGCACACGTTGGAAAGCAGCGCTGAAAACTCTGGGCAGGGCCCACGGACGCAGTGGGTGACGTGCCAAGGCTGTGTCTCCGTGCTTGGCGACTTTGGTCACAGCCCCCCACTCGTGAGCTGTAAACACACACAGACCACCGGCAAACCGCCTGCTTTCCCGGCAGACGCTGGAGGGAAAGCCAGGAGGGGAAGGTACCAAAATTAAATGACAATTATGTAGCACCCCAGCAGAGAAAACCAGTTTCCAAACCCAAGAACCCTGAGGGCACATGGTGACGTCCCTCACCACGCTCCCCAGAGTTCCCTCAGCCTGACAAACTGGCAAAAACCTGATGAAGCTTTTCCCGGCCCCTCGGGACAAGGGGGAGGGTCAATGTCACTGTCTGGGAGCCACAACCTCAGCCCCGGAGTAGTGACAGGTCCTGTTCAGACCCCCGGCAGCCCCAGTGCAGCCCCCAGTCCCACTCCGGGGTCTGGAGTGAGCACGGTTTCACTTCCCAGCTGTGCCAAGTGCCACAAGACCGTGAATAGCCACACGAGGAGCACCAGAGCCAGCCAGCGGGGTGACCACAGCCTGGGAGGGGGCAGATGGCAATAATTACCCTTATGCTAATTCCATGGAAATTTCCATGTGCTTGGAAAAGAGGCAGTCAAGCCCTTCTGCTGCTCGGGGCAGAGGTTCGCTCTTGTTTCCGGGGACTGTGACTAAGAGCCAGGTCTGTCACATGGAGGGTGTTTAAATGCCTCCTTGGAGCCTCCCATCTAAACACCACCAGATCCAAATCTACCTGGAACACCTCCCCTCTGCCCACCTGCGCTGGCAGGGCAGCAGCACAGCGCCTCGGAGGGAGGACACTGTGCCCAGGCCATTCTCTGTCCGTGCTTGCTCAGAGCTCTGATGGCATCTCCCGTTCCCGGGGGTCCCGAGGGAGGGCGGGCGGTGTGGAGCTGTGTGCCAGCACACATCATCGTGTCTGGCCCTGGCAGCTCCTCCTTAGCAACCCAAACAGAGCCACACCAGGGGCCTGGCGGCAGATCCCATCCCGCCGGCGCGAGGGGCCTGGCGCAGAGCCCGGCGTGCCCACGCGGCCCAGCCACCCGCCTGGCAGGTGCCAGCGCCCTGCTCTGCCTGGGAAAGCACCATGACATCGAACTCTCTGGCAGGGCAAAGAGGTTGTGCTATTCAAAGGTGTCTTCCAGGGTCTGCCATCGCTGGTGGAGCTGGGGACCAGCTCTGCCCTGGGCAGCCGAGGAGCCCTCGGTCCCTGCTCTCCTCCTCCCTCCAGCCGGGTGCAGGCAAGCGCTGGGCGAGCTCCAGCCCTCAGCTCCCTTCTCCTTCCTACCTTTACAGCCGCAGACTTCAACCGGGCTCAGTCACCCTCTGCTACCTGTCCCGGGGCTCCTTCGAAAGCCGCCTGCGTGAGCAGCCGCCTGGAAAGGAGCAGGGAGGAAGGAAGGGGATGGACGGGGTGGGGAGGGCCAGGAGGCGGCGGGTGTCTGTGCACCCTGCAGCCCGGGGGGAAGGAAGGAGGATGTTTTGTAATATTTGGCGAGCGCTTCCACGGGCAGAGGGAGGAAGGCGGCGGGGACGCGGCACTGCGAGAACCATCCCCGCTGCCGGCCCGGGACCGGCACCTCCAGGGTGAAGGGCTGGATCTCACGCCCGCTCCTGCAGGGGCCCCACTGGTGTCATGCCGTAAAAATGTGCTCTTGACTGGAATTTGGCAGCCTGGCCCCTGATGGGGAGGGAACCTCTCCGCTTACAGAGGGAGCGGGAGCTGCGGCCCCGGGGCTGCGGGGAGAGGTGGTGGAGAGCTGTTCCTGAGCTCTGCAAGGCCGACGGAGGAGGGCTGGGAGCTTGGAGGTGCCCGTGGATTGGTGCCCAGGGATGCTTTCCCCCAGCTGCCTCGTGGAGACAGCTCCTGAGAGGGGCTGGGCAGGGGGTGGCAGTGCCCAGAGCGCAGGGTACCAGCCCTGGGGCAGCGGTGGGAGAGCAGAACGTTCAGCTGGGGACACATTTTGGAGCAGAGGGGCCGTTTCGCTCTGGAGGTGCGAAGGTTTTGCTCTGGCTCCGCCCCAGCGGGGTGTTCTCGCAGCCGGGGCGCTGGGGCGTTGCTCTGCTGAGCATCTCCGCACCCCGCAGCTTCTCCTCCCCCTCAGCTCCCGCTCCCCCTCTGGGGAGGCCCCCCGCCGCCCCCTTTCCCCGGAGCCCCGCGCTCACACCGCCTCCTCCATTTGCCCCAAGCCCAAGTGCAAGCGCGGTCCTGAGCAGGACTCAGCCCACGCCGACCGCGGGAATCGGCCTCCCAGCTCGCTCAGTTAAACCCCTCCGGCCTCACCCAGAGGGTTTGTGCCAGAGGTGCCATCCTGGCGTGAAGCTGATGAGGCGTGGGCTGGCAGCGACCCCGGCCCCGGCCCCCCCAGCCGCGGCCGCTCCCTGCAGAGGGAGCGCCAGGAGCGGGAATGAGCGGCGGCTCCGCGCAGCCATTTCGTCCTCGGGAAGCGTCGGGCGGGGGGGTTGCTTTCCAAAGGGAAGAGAAAACTCTGCCCACACGGGGAGCTTCCCCTCACAAACAAATTGTGCCATCTGTTCCCGAAGACCTTCATCTTGCTGGGGTGGCTGTCATGTCCCACCTGTACCAGCACCCACACTCAGCCAGGCTGGGCTCTGTGTGCTGCCAGCCCTGCACACAGCCCGTGCCACTCCCCTGGATCTCGTGTTCTCCCCAGGGTTTGGGGCAGGAGAGCGTTCCCGGCCGCTGGAGCCCCGGAGGTCGCTGCAGCAGTGGGCAGCAGTGCTCGCCTGCTCATCTCATTGCTGGCCCGGGTCCAGCCTCCAACTCCCAGCTCCCAACTGGCTCTTTCTTTTCAGCTGAAACTTCCTGTTGGTTCTCATTTTCATTCTTTACCTCTTCAGCAGTGCAGAAAATTGGCACTTAATGTGCCCTGCGAGGCTGCGTGGTGGCAGCTTAATTGACCCTGGTTGCATCACCCTGCCCACAGCTCGGTCAGCGAGCTCAGCCTTGAGCCACGTTTCTTTCCTGTCCCCTCTTTGCTTTCCTGCCCTTTTCAGGGGTGCTGCTGGTGCTCAGCTCCAGGTGAGGGTCCTGGAGGAGCAGGGGGTGTCCAGACTGCCCAGTGAGCTGCAAGGGTCCCTCCTGGCTATGCACCCAAGGAAATCTGGCTTCCTGCAGCTCTCCATCCTCCTTTCCACTCCCATCCTGTGCCTCCCCCAGCTGCTCAGCACGTTGCTCCAAACCCTGCACATCCCAGCATCCCACCTTTGACACGGTGTGTGGCAGGACTATGCTGCAGCTCTGGGAGCTTCCCCAAGTGTTGCAGTCAGAAACCTGAGCCACCAGTTGCAGCCCTGACCTTGCTGGTTGTTTTCCGAGAGCTGGTTCCGAGCATCTGGCCTTGCGTGGAGGGATCACAGGGTGCATCAGTCCAAACCACAGCAGCGAGGACCAAGTGGTACACTGGTAAAAAAAAGCTTATAATAAAACCAGACTTGTAGCAGTCACCCAAACATAGTCTCAGCTTAGCTCCAATTCCCTTATTGCATCATTTGGGGCAGAGATTGCTGCAGGAGTACCTGAAATAATTGATATTCAGTGCATCATAAAACTCCACGTGTGGTTGACGATCCAGGCAGGACTGCATTACGGCAGATGTCTAGCAGGGGAATAAGATTTTCCAGGTGAATGAAGGAAATGCATATAACTCTTGTTTTGGGATATTCCTGAGCGCTGCTGAGGAGAAGTGGCTGCTCATTGCTCCTCTGTTGTGTGAGAGCAGGAGAGTGTTGCCACCCGGGCTGTGCCCAGCTGCTGCTCCTGCACGGAGCTGGCAGAACCCTCCTCACCCCGCCAGGCTCTGGGGGACATCAGGGTCACACCAGCAGGAGCAGGTCCCAGCAGATGTCCCCGCAGGTCCCAGTGGAATTCCCTGGG